ATCAAACAACATGACTTACCCCTTCAAGTTCTTACAGTGGGACATCAGCCAAGGCATTGTTGAATTGATCATGATGAAGGCGGCAGTTTAAAGGCCTGTGCTCCAAGTTTTCTATTTTTTTCCCTCCACCAGCAAACGATACAGGAACGATACGAGGACAATCAGGAACTCAGGTTCCGCCAAAAGATGACTGCATCTTCTCATGAACCGTTTAAAACGGTTACCGGTCCTGACTCCAGTATCTCTCCTCTACACTCAACCAGAAGTAGAAAGAGCTCCTTGTATTCGCTCTTTACTGGTAAAAGTGACTCGGTTTTTTCCAATCCTTCTCAACAAACGATTACTGCTATTACTTCTCCCCGGAGTTCAACCACTTCATTCTTAAATTCGCCTGACAATCACTCCCGACCTCGACTTGGAGTTCATTTGAAGAAGGCAAAGTCTTTGGCCAGCATGAAAGGCTTACTATCGCCTTCATCACTCGCCCCCAATCTTTCCCGGTCCACTTCAATCGCTGGTCCATCCAACCTTGGCCTATCTCATTCAACGACTGCGCTTCACTCGGGAAGAATGGATTTTTGGATGCGCCCAAGAGAAAGCGATGAGGTGGCTGCAACAGAATCACTAGATATGGGTACGTCACAAACTACCAATTCAATCAATCTATTGAACATTACACAGACAATTCACTAGCCCCATCTCGAAAGGCCGAAAACCCTGCTGACACACCCAAATTCTCCATTCGTGTAGTTGGAAGAGGCGGCCAGGGGTCACGTCCTCGCCGAGCGAATAAACAGCATCAGCTTCAACGAGATCAAACTGCTCCCATTTCTACAGTTGATCCATCTGATACTGTATCAACTGTACCCACAAGTGCAGGAGCTGTGCCAGGACCAACCATCGTTCGCGTCGTGGGAAGAGGAGGCTTGGGTTCAAAACGCCGAGTTCGTTTAGACTCATCTCCGTCTCCTCTTCCATCCTCTGCGCTCCGCAACCCCGTTGTGGACTCACGACAATCAAGAGGTTTAGCCGAAGGAACATCTCCGCATCCAGCTATTCGAGTCAGTGGTCGAGGAGGTGCAGGATCGCGACCTCGACCTCAGGTTTCGTCAGGCTCCCCATCAAACATGTTCAAAATTAGGTGGCGAAGGCGAAAGAAATCGTCCGAAGCTGCCACCTCACCTATTTCGCCCAGCGTGAATCCTCTCAAATTAGGTGTTCTGCGACGTTCGAGAGCAAATACTCTTCCCTCATCTTCGAATAGAGATAACTCTCAGCCCCTTCCAACCATCCCAGCATCGCCTCCTAATTCTACTACTATCGATTTCAACTCCACATCCACACTCTCCGTACACCTTCATCTATCTGACGCCCTGATCCCCGCTCCCGTTGGTCCCAGGACCAAAATAGAGCGCACTTTGGGTGACACGGTACCCTCGAATATACTGCTATCCACAAGCGCCAATCACATTGACACTGGTTCGCTTGGCAAAAAAGTTCGCCGACAGTCTCGCGATTCCACAAAGTCCTCTTCCTCTTCACGAAGTTATAATACCACCAGGTCTCGCCGACGAGCTAGCGTAACACGTTCACTTTCAAGTATAGGCTCGTTCATCCGTCTTCCTAAGCCTTCATCGGAGGTCTATATCTACACTGAAGGAGCTGGAGCTGAGGAATACGGGTATGATGATGAAGAAGTGTGCTGGGTTGATAACGATTATGATTCACACTCGCGAGAGGGTGTATCTATCTCCCCGATAGCCTTTTCAAATCGCCCTCCATCTCCTGTGCCCCCGCCGACCAAGCCCAAGCTAGTAATAGAACTTGGGACTCCAACTGGTTCGATCGTACACTCCATAAGCCCGGAGACGGATGGGTCGGGATATAGCTCGGTAGAAGGATATGAGGACGAGGACGAAGTTCACAACGAAGATGATAACGCCCTGTCCGACCTGCTAACGCCGGTAACACCCCCCAATGACACTGGTATCCCTGATACACCGCACTCGTGCGATGCTGTATTACCAGTATCCCCAATCATTTTTTCTGAGCGCCCAGTGTCTATTTTACCTCCATTTGCACCCCGTTCCGAAAATGAAGCTGGAGAAGGAGATGCTGATCCTCATGTGGATATGACCTCCAGCACTCCTCGGACGGCGTTGAAATATCTTTTGTCAGAACCATTGATGAATTCGATATCAGCCTCCATCTCCGCTTCTTCCTCTACCTCCACCTCTGCCACAACATCTTCATCTCACTACTCCGAACTCTCACCTAGTGATTCATCATCCGTCGCCATTGCCGATCTTACGGACTCGCCCGTCCGAAATACTACCCTTGTTCCTCTTCTCGGCCAGGCTGGACAGGAGAGTGGAATCGAAAGGATATGCAGGACGTTATTCGGTCATTGCGGGATCTGAAGTGATTGTTGTCCGTTGTCCGAGTTCGTATCCTGGATCTCTGTTGTCCATCACACGATGACTGGGTGGGCTTTTCTTTCATTCTCATCAAGTGTTCGTTCCTCTGCATGCAGTCATGCATCTTTCTCTCTCTCTACTATCATTCATCATTTCCCTTTAGCTTTTCATTGCATCCACATTAGACTATCGTTAACTTATCCCTTTACGCTTCTCTTCACTCCTCAGTGCGCACTTGCATTTCCCCCTCATGAAGATTTCATGCTCATGCTCGTCTGCCGTGTACATATATAAATTGCTATCGCATATTCACAATCCTTCAGCTCTTGACTCGACATCTACATTCACTTCACATTTGTATTATGATCAACAACATACTGTAACCTATTGTACATATAATATTGTAACATTGCTGCCTACAGTTCACAGAACTATAAATTATATCACTGTTCGTTGCATTAAAAGCATATGCTTGATATCAGGCGTGGATATCCGACCTAGTGTACACGATTTTTGATACGACCTACAAGAAACACAACACATACGTATGGTTGAATAGAGAACACGGATCTTGGATGACGCGTCGATCCTGAAGATTGTCGCCTCCGATTCAGCTAAGCACTCAAGTGCTAAAATATGTACAAACTACACGCGAACGATTTCACCACAAAGGATCTTTCGCGGGGGCCTTGTTAAGACACACACTCAACCGTGTCTCCCCTGTTCTTTTCGCCCAACGATAAACCTTCAATCCCCTAGGCCCAGTATGCATTTGCGCCATCGTCTTTTCATACCCCTTCGGATCCACGTCAGAACACAGATACACTTGAACGCTACGCTGTCGGTCGTAAATCAAGACAGACGACCCTTTTTGCATCTTGATGAGGAATGGGCTGTCTCCGTGGATATTCGAGGGAATAGGTGGTGGGTTATCGGTGTCGTACGTGTTTTTTGGTGCCGTCCTCCATGATATTAGAGGACATAAAGCTGACATGGCTAAAGTAGAGCTTTTGGCCCATCGCGGCGGAGAGTCGCATTTCTGTGGACATCATGCTGAAGTTGATGTCGACCCAGTCACCACCCTTCAAGGAGTTGCACATCGGCTTGTGCTCTTTCCAATGCGATCGCTGGCAATCTAATGAATTCAATTAGAAAGTGTCCTGAAAAGGCTCATGAACCAACGACTGACCGGTCCCACAATATTCGACACTAAGGCATTGAGAGCATTTGCTTGTCGTTTTCTTTCCGCACACGACACATCCAGTATGATTGGTCAACCTTCCAAGATCTTGTTGACCGATGGGAGCGATAGGTAGCAAGAACGACAGCACAAAGGAAGCTTCGGTCTGTCTTCGCTGGGGAGAGTAGTTGGAAGAAAGACGCCGCGCGTTCAGATTTAGGATGGCGAGAAGGAGCTTCTGCTCCTCCGGACTAGCGGTGATATTCAGTACAGGCATCCGCTTGGCTTTTGACTGTGCTAAAGTGTCTTGGACCCAGCGAAAGGTCGTACTAGCAGGAGTGTCCCGCGTTCCACGACAGTACAAGAGCATCATGACAGGGTCTTTACCAATGGTACGAACTTCGATGATCTACAACGTCACGTTAATAAATCAATGATAAAGATATATAAAGGACTTACTCGAATACAAATCGCATAACTTTTGTCCTTGTCCTGTACTATGGCTTTGTAGGCACCGATATCGACACCATTCGCGAGCGCCAGCACCGTTTGCCGAAGGTCTATGAACGTATTCTCATACATGTCCCAAGCATTCTGCTTCCCTTCGCTTCTGGCGCGAAAATTTGCGAGCGCTTCGACAATATTGTTTCGAGAGACTGATTTTTGTAAAGTTTCCCCTGAAGTCTCTTTGGACCAAGTAGGAAGAGATGATGGATCGAAAGGAGGTTTGTCGATGAGCTTTTCGAAGGACTGGGCAGCATCTATTGCACCGCGGAACTTCCGTTCTATGGCGTCGTCGGGAAGGCGAGTGTTAGGGGAGAGTTCGACGCCCATGCTGTGTAAGAACTTCAACTTTTCATCTCTGGTGATGTCGACTGGGATAACTTTCGAATTACTCGATTTGGCTTGACGTTTGATATTGTTCAAAGCCACCTTTGCCCAATCAAAACAGGTAGAGCAGTCGGCTTTTTGGTGTTCCCTGCATTCGTATACGCGATCCCCGGGTCGGCTTGATTTCGTTTCGACTGCAACTTTTTCCAAGACATATGAGATTGGTGGTCGGTCCTGCCAGGTCGACAGAAATCAGTGGGATTAGTAGTGATACACTTCCACGGGAAATTACCATGAAATGATACTCGGTGAGACCAGGGAAGGCTGCAGAAAGTTTGTCTATAATCTGGATGTTGTTGCTGAACCTATGGTCGGTGCAGCATTCGTTACAGAATTCGCAGCCATGTTCACGACAGAACATGAAAGATCCAACGCAAACATCATCATCGTAGATCATTGAGAGGTGGTCGAGGTTCTGGTTCAAGTTGAACTGAGGATCAAAATAAAACACGCGCGCTTATTTCCTTCATCGCACAAAAGAATAGAAGTGAGCACGCACAATTGACCGTCCACGACGCCAGCAGGATTTGAACCTGCGCCCTCAAAGAGGAACAGATAAGTTAACTGTTCTAAATGGGTTATTCGAATCTGTCGCCGTAACCACTTGGCTATAGCGCCGCTAACATATGAAGATCAAATTTCTACAGCATGCACTATAGTAGACTCTACTTGCAACTTCACTACTATCTATCTATCTGCCCATGTTTATGCGACTCATTGGTCAATCGCTACACCGAAAATAACCATCAACGAAACATGGTTGAATTGCGTAGCAAACTATCAACGCTACAAGCAGAGTATAATCCTGAAGCATTGTTCCCTGCCAATGTTAGCCGCATTGGCATTCTGTCCAGCAGCTTTGGCGCGTTTACGAAGTTTCTGGGTCGACTTGTTACCACGAAGACCTCTACCCCACAAGCAGCGCTGCCCATCGCACTGCTCGGTACTGTTAATAACAATAATTAAGACATGTCAATGGCAAGCAAGTAGTAAAAACGTACAAGTTGGCTTTGAGCACTGACGAGGGTAGCCAATTCACGCTGGCCCTCAGATTTGACATCCTGGAGGGCGACGACAGCAGCCGTCTTTTTGTGAACGACGGTACCAAGACGAATCTTGCCCTTTACGATAACGTATGGAGCACCCATTTTCCGGCAAAAAGCAGGGAGGACGCAACGAGCTCGATGTGGTCAACAACCAAAGAAGCCATTTCGGCTTCGATGAGAGCAACTTGAGACTTTGATTGATAAAGAGAGGTTTCTTGGTCTCCTGAGTAAAATAGTTAGAAACGCGTAGTTTGAGCCAATCATACATCTTGTCCTTGCCATCGTAGCAGCAACAGCAGTAGCCTCAAGACTAGCCTTTTTCTCTACTTTGGATTCGGGGCGGTACTTGTTGAGGAGTTTGAACAGCTGAGTCGCGGTGTTCTTGTCCAAAGTGTGGCTGAATTGAGCGATTGAGGGAGGAACCCTGGAACGCTGCTTCAAAATTGTCTTTTAACGTTAGAGATGAACATATTCGGGCCATTTGACGAATCGACGTAGTCAGTTGGACAGATTCTTGACTACAGCTATCATAAGCTTCCAGAAAATGGAAATGATGATGTCCACATCACGCACTGATACCAAAGTTTTTTGGTGTAGCCTCGAAGAGAGGGTTCTTCTGCGTTTCGGCTAAATTGACTCCAAAGGGAGCAGATGCAGGCTCTTTGGCGGTTCCGGATTTGGCTTTGGGCTGGTCATTGAGACGAAGTCACCACATGTCATGAATTCAAGACAAGGCGCCTCGGAGCTCTAACGTCGTGCACAGAGTCACAGTGCACAACCCAGTAGATATATGCTTCATTGCCGCTAGGGCTCAGCAAATAAAAGTAGGAACACTCTCCGATCCCAATTTATAAAAGTCATTCTACAGGTCTATCAGAATCAGACAAAAAAGTCATCCGATTTCGAACTTACCCATTCTTCATTTCTGGGATCTGAGAGGTTCGAGACCTTTCCTGAACGAGCTCCTAAGCAAAGAAACGCATTTACTTGCCATTTTTTCAGTGTTTTCTAGCTCTTGATTGCCTGAGCCCTGAACCTTGGGCTGAACTTGGGCTGAACGAAAAAAAAAAAGAAAAAGTTCAAGCGCCGTCCATCTCACTGCTCCCTGGATGAGGGTACTGAATTTGATCTGAGAGGTGACTAAGTATATCGGTTCCTTACTCTATGACCCCTTAGCTCAGTGGTAGAGCGTGTGATTCCAGTATGTCAGCTATCAGCTTTAGTTGAATCCACAAGGTCGTCCGTTCAATCCGGGCAGGGGTCACTTCTCTAGCACCCTTCACTGTATATCTTACTCAACGCGATTGCTTGTTCAGCCTTTTTAGACCTGAGGGGTATATATATTACAGTCGAGCAAAGACAAATGGTGCAGTATGTTATAGTGAATTACACCGATGAGTACGTTGCTCGGTGGAAGTCCAAGGGGGAACCGGGATTACGGACCGGTACACTCTGATGTGTTCGGTTGGTTCATCCTCAGAGCCCACTAAAAAAAAAAAAATTTACCCAGCCTTTTTATCAGTGAAGATTTGAGTTGAAATACATAGGCTTTTGAAGACTTGAAGTTTTTTCACACTGTTTCTGCTAAGATACATGTATGACAGATTCGGCAACCCCCACGTGATACTAAAAACTTTTGCAAGACTGCTAACTCATCAAAAAAATCATTGTGAATAAGATATAAGTATATCTAAAAACTAACAGATTTGCTAAATGCATAGAATCTCAAAAAGTTAAATACTGCAGTACAGTGTTCTATGGCTCCTTGAACCAGAACTTTGAATTTTCCTTGCGATTTTTCTGTTCTGCAAGAAGTAGCAAATTCTTTGTATCTAGTATTTTACTAAAAGAAAGAACAAGTGTTTCTAGATAATCAAATAAGGGAAAAACATTGCTGTAGGGAGTTCCGCAAAAATATCTAAAGAATTAGTTGATTCTCATGTTTATGGCTCCTTGAACCACACCAAATTTGGCAGATCAAATTGTGCTGTCATACTTATGTTGCTCACTTAAGGAACAGACATCCTCCTTCCACAAGGCTGAGTATCTCAGATGCTGGAAATAGTGATTATGTATTTATGTATCATTTTTGTCAGGGCCCTGAGTATCAGTATTCAGCTAGTAAACAAAAATATATGTTTTTGAATGAAAAATATTCCAAAATACTTGATTTTTGATTTCCTGCATCTCGAGATTGGGAGCTAACACTCTGAGTATTTTCTCAACAATGCATCATGTATGTTCATTAAGTTTGTGACAGTACTTTAAGGTAAATACACCCTGCAAAAAAAATATGGTTGGTGGCTCAAGGAACCATAGAACACTGTACAGATCATGTGGGGGTTGCTGGATCTGTCATACATGTATCTTACTTTTGTTAAGCTCAATGAGCAATTGGAGCAGTGGGGAATATATGGGTTGTATTTGGGAATGAAGGTGATCTGGCTCCTGGTCCCTATAGGTGACATATGGTGACATCAGATGTCACACTTACATCATTATATACAGCTTTGACACCCTAATAAAGCAGCTGTCATGTCACAGGGTTGGTCAGTTCACTCCTTGAGGCCATTAAAAAAAAATTTCAACCCTGTGTAATAATAGAAAATTTTCGGTCCCCCTTGTGGAAGTCACCACTGCTGAGAGCAGCAAAATGGAAACTATACTTGTGTAAGTACTACCATTGGCTTTCGAGGATGAACCCTTTGTCTTCACAAAATATACAGTATCCTCCATCATAACATTTATGGTTCATTGAATAATTACTGAATATATTGCAACTGTGATACCAGTGTATAACCTTTTACATTTGCTATCCAAAGTGTAAAACATTTTCCTTCCTTCATATGTAGAATAATAACCACATGCTAAGCCTAGGAACAATGTCAAATTAGGCCCTGCATTGTTCAACTATCGGTTTGGAAGCTCCATGCTACTGGTTAGGTTGGCTGGGTCATAGCAGTACTGTGTAAAACATGTCATGCAGAAAGCAGATAAGAGATTGCTCAATAGTGGGAGTCACATTCAGATGCAAATTGTTGAGTGCAACACATTGCAAACATCTACCCAAGTTAGGGTCTGGTAGCTTGCTTGGTTCACAATGTTCTGGGTTTCATTGGCTTTGCTTTTGATTGGGCCTGCAGCAGCACTAGAAGAGAGAAGGAGATACTCAATATCAGGAATTCAGGATGATCACCAGGAAGGAACATGCTTGTTGAAAGGAGTTGGAAAGGAGTTGGCCTGGGGTAGGTAGATAATGAGCAGAGTGTGTGTGTGGAGTGAAAGCCAAAGAGTGTAGGTCACAAGGTGAAACCTTCATCAGCAAAACCTGGGTGAACTGTGGATTGCTGTGGATTGCTGTGGGTTGCTGTACAGCACTGTACAGAAGCCCCAATACAATCCACAGAAGCCACAGAACTGTCCAGTTCTGTACAGAGGAGGACCTTGCTGTGGGATCACCCAGGTTCCACTGATGTTGAGCTACAAAGTCATTAGTGAATGGGCATTTCTGGGAGTTGTGTTGAAAATAAAATAATAGCACCTGCTTGTGTTAATATGTTTTGCATTAGTGCAAGGCACTACTGTGTGAATGGGTGAGCAAAGTATTGGACAGCACTTTGCAGGCTACACAGTACTGTGGCTGTGTGCATTGGTACTTCATACTTCAGCTATTCTCATGCTACTGTGGCTGTACAAGCATCTCCCGGGGCCTCAACCAATATTGGGTTCACTTCACTCACCCAATGATAAAACATCAATAGGGATTTAAGGATATTATGGCTGTTTGACTTCTTAAGGAACAGGTAAAGTACATGGGTATCTACAGGCAGTATTTACTTATACCCACAGAAATACATATGTCATAGCTATCAAATACAGTAAGTGGATACTGTGTGAAGTCATGATATCACCTATGAAGTAATGGTGATATAAGGTGTAATATAGTGTAAATATGTCATAAATGTGATGTAAACAATGACTTCATTATGATATAGCCGTATCCAGCTTGCACAGCTGAATTCCAATTCCAACAAGTTGTTGGTGCTGTGGATGTTCTTTCAGCACAATTTTCTTGTCATTATTCAATAATACATCAGCAAAAATGGTCTGGGCCTGGGCCCATAGCCTATAGGTTAGACTAATATGACCTGGGCAACCTGGGTGACTTAGGCCACCTAGGAATTTGCCCAAATCCTGATATCACCAGAGGGAGCCTCATTGCAGCCTGAACACAACCTGAGAGCAACCTGAGTGCAACCTGAGCACTGTTTGCACAGTGGGTCAAGGGACGAGAGGACGGTGGACTAAACGAACAGAGTGAGTATAAACTCAGTGGTGGTAAAACACTATATTATAAGTACCTAAACGAACGGAGTGAGTATACTAAAGGTAGTCAGTAAAATAGGTAGGTAGGAATAATGAACGTACTCACAACTCAGTGGTGGTAAAACACTGAGTTGTGTCAGCTAACTAAACTGAATGTATAAGATGCCAAGAAAACGTAAGTACTAGAGTAGCGGGATGTCCGTATATGGTAAGTATATCACTGTATATGTCCGTAGGGTCTTTGGATTGTATAGTAAAGTTAACAAGCACAACCTGAGGAAACCTGGGGCAGCCTGAAGAAGCCTGAGGAAGCCTGGGACAGCCTGAGATTTATCTAGAACTAGGATTACAAGCTAAATAGTTTCAATAAACTAGTACATTGAATTATAATGTGTATAAACATCAGCGAAACCTGTATTTTGCGTTTTAATTCCCACAGCAATACTTAAAATTCCCAGAGCTCCCAGAGCTCCCAGCGCTGGCCAGCGCTTGCCAGTGCTGTCAGAAAAATAAAATCTTACATTATTTCCAAATAAGGTAATTTTGCGGCCTCTGGGAGCTTCTGGGAGTCCCCTCCTGCATTGGCCAGACCATCTGAGTGCTGGGATGCTGGAACACTGGGAACTCTGGACAGTTTGCTCAAGCACTGCCCACGTCTCATACAGGTTTTGCTGATGAATATCATTAAAAGAACAGTAGACACCCTAATTATTGGAATTTATCTACATATAATTGCATAAAATAAGTGCCCAAATAAGCGCCAAACTGCATGGGCACCTGTAGACTGTGTACAATTAAAAGTCTGTTGATGAGGTCAAATCAGATTCATCAGGAATTAATAGTTAACTTGATAAATATGTTAGTATACTTGAACTTGAGTTAAAAATACTTAAGTGAGGTGTTCCGAGTCATAAGTTAAGGCTAGTAAAACATTAATGAGTCTTGAAAAATAAGTTCACTTTGAAATAAGGCAAAAATCCATGAGTTTAATGAGATAATAAGGTTCAAGTAAGATAAATGTGGAAATTGAGCAAAAAGATACAGCTGAATAATAAAGTATGAGAATTATTTTTTGGGTTGTATAACTCAGCAGAAGTATTCCTAGGTTACCTCAAGCTGCCTCAGGCTTCCCAGGCTTCCCAGGCTTCTGAAGGCTTTAGAGTCGCTGCCCACTTTCATACTAATTTAAAGAACTTAGAAACATTTCAGTGAAGTTAATCATTACTATTAGTATACCCCCAGATACAATGTTTTTTACCAGTAGCCACTGCTCTGAAAAGATGCAAGTCAACATAAGGATCAAAGAAGAACATTTTACAGTCATCAACAACATTAATACTAGTCCCAGAACTTGCCAGAAGGATTTTTAACCCAACCAAAATTGGGTGAAAGATAGCAGTTTCAAATAATACACCCAGCATCAACAATCTTGCCATAAACATGCCGCATGCATGTTGAACAAGAAAGAGAATAGAGACCGGAAGAAGAATGGCATGTACTGAATGGAGTGAACCATTCAACATATGCTAGTGGAGTTTCAATGGAGAGACCATAAATGCAAGGAAGCGTGAATAGCACTCGGACATGTGCTACTCAAAGCCCTACAACTATGATTAACATGAGATCCAAGTTTAAATAAAAGAAGTCACCTTTGAGAGAAGTCCCTTCAGTCCATCGGTTGTGCTCTCCAGTGTGAACAAGAGCAAAATCCAAATGAGCAGGTTCTTCAGGGCAACAACCAATGCTCGGAACCAGAGGTGAAGCACGTACAATGTTCTTAAGAGTGGTTGGTTTTGCTTCCAGGATTTCTGGAAGTATTAGAATAAGGCATTTGTAAAGGTTGAATAAGTCGAACCATCGGGCTGTTGCAATGCTGTTGTGTGCTGAGAGAAACAATTGAAGAGCAGGAAGGAAATGGGAAGCGCTGTGTTGGTCAAT